TCAATTTCCTACAAGGATATGGGGGGTGTTTTTTTTGACGAGTTGTTGATGAGGTGTTATTTTTTTTTTTCTTATTGTGGGGAAAATGTGGAACTGTGTAGCGGGGAGCTTTTTTCTTTTAATTTTGAGCTCTTATTTTGGGAGAGTTTTTTCTAGGTGTGTCTCACCCTCTTTTTTTGAGTGTATAGTGTAAAAAAAATAGTCGATTTTTTTGACCCGCCCTACTGTGTAACCTATTTCTGTTTCATTAGTAATATTTCGGTATTATTAGCTTATAGCATGCCGTTTAGTAATTTAGAAAAATTTAAAATGCTGGAGGCTTACCTTATTTGCAGAAAAAATTCTGTACGATCACTACACTATTACCGATATGCAAAACAAGGAAAAAAAGCAAAAGCTTTTGTAATAGACGAAGGAACAGAAATTAATGTGTTAGCTTATTAAGAAACGTTTGCAGATAAATCTATCAGAGATATTACCAGAAATTAGATGCCAAGAGAAGTATAATTCACAAGATTTTAAAGAAGCACAAATATCACCTAAGCTAAAATGGTTGATACTAAAAATAGGTTTTTAAAATCATTTGAGTTTAAACAGAGCTACCGCAAGGTTTGCGCAAGTTCATCTGAAGGAGCAAATGACCAGATCTTTTATCTCGAAAACTAGTTATTTGACACAAAAATGATCTGTACAGAGGTTGTAGGATTTCGCATGGATTCCACATCAGTGATCTCTTGACCTAAAACTTGGCCAATCCTCCTTACCTTCGGTTTACATTAACCTAATCGACACAAATCAAGTACTGGAGGACTAAATCGTGATATAATTATTACCTTCGGTTTTAGCGTTATTCAATGCGCACCGCGAGGAGGGTTTCTTTGCTTGACCTTTAAATGACCTTGAAATAACCCTCAAATGACCTAATACATACAAACNGAATATCTTTTAAACGCTTTATTTAATCAACTAATCATAAGAGACCATTTTTGTAGAGCAGTTAATTTCCTACAAAACTATGAATTGCGCATTTCATAATGATTTTTTGTTAACGAGTTATAAAATTCATAAGCAAAACAGAAATTTGTCTTAAAATAATCAAACTTCAACCTTTAATATCTTTTAAACGGTGAGGTTTCCGCAAAAATTGTAAGAGACCTTTTTTGTAGAACGTTCAATTTCCTACAAGGATATGAGGAGAGATATTTTTAACGAACAGTTGATAAAGAGATATGATTTTTTTTCTAATACTGAGGAAAAAATGGAAAACTGTAAAGCGGAGAACTTTCCTATTAAAATTAAGAGCTCATATTAGGAGAGAATTTTCTAGAGGTGTCTAACAACCTATTTTTCAGAGTATAAAGTAAAAAAAATAGTCGATTTTTTTGACCCGCCCTACTGTGTAACCTATTTCTGTTTCATTAGTAATATTTCGGTATTATTAGCTTATAGCATGCCGTTTAGTAATTTAGAAAAATTTAAAATGCTGGAGGCTTACCTTATTTGCAGAAAAAATTCTGTACGATCACTACAGTATTACCGATATGCAAAACAAGGAAAAAAAGCAAAAGCTTTTGTAATAGACGAAGGAACAGAAATCAATGTGTTAGCTTATTAAGAAACGTTTGCAGATAAATCTATCAGAGATATTACCAGAAATTAGGTGCCAAGAGAAGTATAATTCACAAGATTTTAAAGAAGCACAAATATCACCTAAGCTAAAATGGTTGATACTAAAAATAGGTTTTTAAAATCATTTGAGTTTAAACAGAGCTACCGCAAGGTTTGCGCAAGTTCATCTGAAGGAGCAAATGACCAGATCTTTTATCTCGAAAACTAGTTATTTGACACAAAAATGATCTGTACAGTGGTTGTAGGATTTCGCAAGGATTCCACATCAGTGATCTCTTGACCTAAAACTTGGCCAATCCTCCTTACCTTCGGTTTACATTAACCTAATCGACACAAATCAAGTACTGGAGGACTAAATCGTGATATAATTATTACCTTCGGTTTTAGCGTTATTCAATGCGCACCGCGAGGAGGTTTTTCTTTGCTTGACCTTTAAATGACCTTGAAATAACCCTCAAATGACCTAATACATACAAACTGATCTCGAATTCGAACTCGCCTAGGCAGTTAGATTTAATTGCTTGGTTTTTTCAATTTGACCTTGAAGTGAACTTCAGACGACCTTCAAATGACTTGATACAAACAAACTAACCTGGATTCTAACCCAGCGACCCCAAAATCCTATATAACAGATGGTTGGACTTGATTGGACTGCTTTTGCTCAATTTGACCTTGAGATGACCTAGAAACAACCTTAAATTGGCCTGATACAGATAAACTAACCTCCAATTCGGACTCAGCGACCCAAAAAACCTAATCTGCGAGGTCCTTTGATTTAATTCACTTTTTCTCAATCTGACCTCTAATTGACCTTGATCCTGACTAGGAAGGAGGGGGGAATCGATTAGTTATTGGACATAAGTAATAAAATAAAATTTTTGTCTTTTTTTGGCCAAAATTGAAAGGGGCCTAATTGACCCTCCCTTTATTCAAGTTATTATTAATCTTTTTTGAGTTTTGTACTGTATAATTCTAACAAATTAATTATATTATACTGTATAACCTTCAGAAATCAACTCTTTTATGTTGATTTAAAAATTCTTGTTATCAAGTCTGAATATTTCTGTAATTAGCTAAAAAAAATTAAGTACCTACTTATTTTATTTTATGTGAATTTCTTACTTGCTTTGCAACACTTCACAAATACAATAACAGTCTAGCCACCAAAAAAAGAGGCGATACGTCTGATTGCCCATTCGCCGATTCTCGTCAATGACAGACGGCTGCCTCCAACAAAGGCCATGTCTAATTCTCCAAGAAAGGGTCGGTAATTTTTGTGTGTCTTCTGATTGCCGTTAAAGGGCCGGTCGATGTCACGAAAATAACCCTATTAAGGTGTCGATTCATCGAGTCGCTTTCTCGGTTTATTCAGTGACGGATGACAAAAAAAATGTTTCATTGTGTAGGCTGCTCCTGATCAATAGGGCGAGTCCCAAGGCTTTAATAATTCAGGTGTCATTAGCGAAAGTGTTCCGTTGAAGTTGTTTGTGCCCGATACAGCCCTGGCTGAATTTATTTTCCTTGTAAATAATTTAGTTCCTAGAAACGTTGGCTGTTATGTGTGGAAAGTGTTCTGTTTTGTCATATTTTGATGGTAGATTGTGTAGGTGGCGTAGATTTTAATCACATTTTGTTCATCGTAATGTAAATAAGAATATTAAGTGGCCAAATATTAAATAGAAATTGTAGACGTAAGACTACGCCGAGCACTTTGTAATAATTGATAGAAATAGCCTGGTAAACAATTTGCAATTTTATACATGAAAAATAAATAATTACCAACCAAGAGCAACTAAAGTTAAATAAATGAGTAGTAGAGCACGAGACTCTTAATTTCAGGGTAGCGGATTCGACCCCTACGTTGGGCGCCAGAAATTTGTTACGCTTTTCCAGCTTCTGCAGCAACTTTAATATGGGTTATCTTTACAAGAAATGTGGCTGGAATTGCAGCACTCTCATGATTGTATGTACAGGGTTAGTCACTGTAATCTGACAACTTATTATGAGTTTATTATTGAAATTACAAAAAAATAAGTTTTTAATACAATAGTTTTAGCTTTTTTATGAATTTTTATAATACAGTATTAGATAAAACAATTGAATAATGGAAATCACTAAATTAAAGAATAAATGGAACACCCTTCGTTAAATTTTTCTCTTTTCAAAAATATATAATATGTTACTGTGTTCAGTTTAAAACTATTTTTGACAAAACAGGAGAGACATTTATGTCTGACTTTGACAGAAGTTTATTTATCATCAATAATTTATTTCCTATAACAAATTATTTTAACAACGAAAAATTTGTTATTCGTTTATTTTACAAGAATAATAATAATGTGAATGCAGCGCGCGGCAAGTATGTTCATTGGCATCCCGGGAAACAAAATTTCCTGGAAGACAGAAACGAAGAATTATTGCAAATGAAGAATTATTAGAACTAACTATATTACTATATTTTCAAGGTAAGCAAATATTCATTCGAGGTTTACCATAGTCAATTCAAATATTAAATTATTGTAGAAAGACCATAAGAGTCCACAGTAAATGCTTCAAGACAGTTAGAACTAAGCTAAAGTAAAATTATTAGAACGTTACATAAATATAAATATCACCACCCCTGTAAAACTATGCTGGTCCAAAAACTCACCCAAAATCAAAAAATTCAGTCATTAGACTACTGCAGAGAAATGCTGCGCTTGAAAAATGACGACCTAAACTATTCTGAAAAGATTTTATGGACTGATGAGGCGACTTTTACAACAGCTGGCATTTATAATAGAAAAAATATTCATACCTAATGAAAATCCTCACTATAATAGGGAAATTCCAAATCAAGGACACACATCGTTTAATGTTTGGTACAGTATATTGAGAAATAAAATCATTTGCCCACTATTTTATGAAGGTGCTTTGGCTGGGGAAAGATACCTGCATTTTCTTGAAAATCAAATAGAAAACAAATTGCAAGACCTGCCGCAAGGCAAAGCTTTTATTTTCTAGTAATACATTGTTACATTAATCAGAATCACAATACCACATATTGAAAATTAAATTGCCATTGTGTGCTTATTTTACGAATACGAATAAGATCCACTTCTTATTTATGGAAGGGCGAAATGGGCGGTAACTATTAGACACTTTTATTATAGCCATCTTTCTCTATCGCACGGATTTCTATGACTTTCTTTATCGCTCTCACGTAATGGCCGATGAACCATGGGGACTTTCCGAACCTGTATATGAGTAGTCGATAGTATCTCTTTTTAGTCCTCTTTAAGTTTGTTAACACATTAAGTTTTGTTTCATTAATATTTGTATTTTCATATTCAATAGTTTTGCTTGAGATTATGCGTTTATCGGAAACTTACCTTTTCAATTATGCAAACGAGGTCGATGATACTGCCGATATCTACATGGTGTTCTCCCGATCTAGTCCCTTGGATGGTCGCCTCGGGTACCACGATTTGAAGATTGACGAAGTGGGATAGCAGCCCTTGGTTACTCGACACCTAAAAGGGATAACAAAAACATTCAAGAATTTAATAAAAAAATCATCAATTATTAAAAGGAATATAATTAAAAGTATTTGAAATAATGTTGAAAATGTTATATTCATATATTTCACTTAATGTTATTAAAATTATTTCTGAATGTTTGACCCAATATGCTTCATTTAGACCGGGTATTATTTCAGTTCGGATGTGGCGGGGCAACGAAAATCCTGGCCATAACTCTCAGTTTTCTCCGAAGCAATAAAAAAATCAGGCGAAACAGTAAACTTAAATGTTCATATTGCTGCCATCTAAATGATAAAGTGTCTCATATGTACGGTGCACTTTATTAATACCACTTTTACGTGTAGAGAACTAGAAGAACTACCAAGTTTCATATCGCTGCAAGAGTAAACTTTACCATCAACACTTAAACTTCATCAGATAAGTTTAGAGTTTCTTTTACGAATGAAAAATTAGTCGTTTGCTATATGGCATTGGTTTCGTAGTCCTTTATTTCTAATGTTATATACAATGTAATATAAAATTGTAGACTAATAAATATTTGTTAAAATGATAAATATATGTTCCAGTATTTGAGTAGGTATTGGTTTCACGATTATTCAACCATAAATATCGCGATCATTTGAATATCTTTGTCCTGTTCACTCTGTTCTTTGCTTTACAGGATTATAAGGTTCATGAGGTTATGGTGGTTTTTAATATACGGTTGAAGGATCATTACCAAGTACCCCGTTTCAAGGTTTTTGAACCCATCAAGATCGTTATTAGATACAAGCCTTCTCGTACTACACTGTGGTTCTCAGGCTTATGGTATTATGGTTATGATGTTATGAAGATATGAAGATTGAAATTAGGGGGTTTCGAGTTTAGTGATTTGGCGTTAGGGACCTGGAATCCACCATTAAAGACTTTTCAAGAAATACATATACATGTAAAATAACGATTTACAAAAAATCCTGATGTGTAGGACCAAAACAGTTGTTATTAAAGCATGACAATATAAATCATATACCGAGTTATTACACACATAAATGTAGAAACAATCTGCACATATGTGTGGGGAGCATCGGCTTCTTGCACCTGCAGGAATTACGTAAATAAACCATGACATGCACAAGTATACCAATTTAGGGTTTATTGAATAACATTAATACATGTTATAATACCTTGCTACTTTCAAGGGCTATGGAGAACGACGTACAAAGAGCAACAAGAAATGGTTTGACAGGAATTTTGATATGTAACTTTATTCCCTATAAAACAACTGACACTTTATTTGATTGCAAAGAAACAAAAGTAAAGTGTGAATTTAGATGAATATTGTATTGGTTTTGTTTATTTCGCGGTGGTTTTTAAAACTTGTTGCTTTAAAATTACATCGATTTTTGTTTGCATTTTGGTTTCATAAAAGATAAATCTGATTAATTTCTTCATATAATGGTGTTACTTAATTAATGTTCAACAGTTATATTATTTAATTAATTTAGATATTTCCACAACTAGTAATTTTGAATACGATGTCTTTTAAGAAACCTGTTTGTAATTCGAATGTAAGAGCCATATTAAATATTATACAGCATGATGAAGTTTGGAACAAAATTCATAACATTTATACAGAGTGATTTTTGAAAAAACGACGAGACAGGTCGATTTTGTTCTCGGGAGGGGCAGCTTTTAAGATGATTCATTTGTATACAGAGTGACCCAGAAAACAATAAATAAAAATAAAATAAATAATAATAATTAAATAAAATAAAATGACATTAAATAATTTTTTGAAATAAATGTCATTTTCTCGTAATATCTCGCTTGTTATTTGAGATAGACCCATGTCACCTCATATCACTATATTCGTAAGAGAAAGCTTTACCGGAATATGAAAAAATATGGAGGGTGTTCCATAAGAAAAAAACAAATTTATTGGCCATCCAGTTTTTCTGGGTCATCCTGTATGCAACTGAATCATGTCCCTCCCGAGAACAAAATCGACCTGTCTAGGCGTATTTTTTTAATCAATCAGTATAAAAGTTATGAATTTTCTCTTTATCATTCCGCTGTGTAGTATTTTTTGGTATTCATAATTGAACCTGCAATATGCACCTCAATTATGAGACGTTGCACATTTTGCATTTATCTCAATTCACTAACATGACGTCACGCGCAAGCACTAAAACTTTACAATCTATGGTCTGTTTAGAAATGAAAGAGAGTAATAAAAGCTAATTATGTATGCAAATCGTAAATAAATGTAGTACTGGTGCTTATATTCAATATTTTTATATTATGTATTTTCCGTATAGATGAGGTCTACTTTTAACAAAATCGAACTGTACTAAATTGTAGCAGGTAGTTAAAATTTAATTCCCGACAATCCGTCTTTGTCTATGCCGCTTCAATTTCTCGGTCCATTTCTCTTATAAGTAAACAATATAAAAACAGCATTTCAAAACATGAGGCTACTTTAAGCATCATAACCGGGTTAAGAGGGTTTTTAGTAATTAAAATAAAATTATTCTATATTATCAAAATATTTATTTAAATTTAATGAATAGACTTTTATTCCACACAAAAATATATGTATTTTGAAAATTCAAATTATGGTGAGTAAATGTAGTGTTGTATAAATGTACACAATAAAGAAAATAAAAAAGTAGGTATATTAAAATTCATCCTCTGAATATTCTGATGAATTATCTTCGTCTCCTAGATTGATAACGATAGGTTCCACAGTAACGTCAATTAAATTATCGAGTTCCCACATTTTCTCCTCTTCTTTTTGTACATGATGTATACATCTTTGCCAGTTATCTGCAGTTACTCGTTCCAAGGATTTTTTTAACAAAATTTTCACGTCACTTAATTTAAACGTCGTATTATTTCGCGCTACATCTCATTTTACCTGCGCCCAGACTAATTCGATTGGGTTAAGTTCACAGTGATAAGGTGGTAACCGAAGTACCGTTATTTGGCGATTTGTTACCATTTCAACGATAACATATTTTTTCTGATCTTTATTAAGATTGACAAGTGTCAAAAGTTCCTTTTTCACCATATTTGTTTCAAAAGAAATGTTTTTTCCGGATAACCATTGAATTATATCGGCTTTCCTCCAAGCAGTCGTAGGCATCCGCTCGGTCTGCCGTGAATGGTAACTGGCATTATCCATGACAATTACAGACCCCGGAGGAATAAGATCCAACATATGTGTAAAATACTCTTCGAAAACATCTGCGTTCATGTCTTCGTGATAGTCACCTGACATCTACAAAACCACTGGCACTACCTATATGTGTCACTATTAATCTTCGCCCTTTACCTGAAAGTGCCTTGAACCCTGTTGAAAGTCCATCCAAAAATGCTTGTCTAAAACTTTTTACATTTTTATCTTGCCATACTTTTGTTACAGTATATCCCTCGTTGACCCAAGTTTCGTCTAGATAATAAATATTCCTCCCTTCGTCACGGAATTTTCTAATTGATCTTAAGTAGGATCTTCGCCAACAAATAATTTCATCTTTATCGATAAGAACTGACTTCCTGTTCTGCTTTTCCCAGCAAAAATTCAACTCTCGTAAGACGGTCCATAATTTGCTTCTACTATTTTTGGCAAATCGTTGTCCTCTGAAAGTTGACTTAAAATTTTGTTTAGCATTGGTATTTCTTTTTTAAAATAAAATGAGTGTACTTTAGTCACTAAACACAAGTCGAATTTTACTCCACTGCACTAGCACGTCTTCGCATATTCAGATCTAAGACTGGATTGATCTGTCACAATACACTGGCTCCTGCCTTATGATGTATCCAGTAAAATATACTAATGTACACCCATTACCTGTTAGCATTAGTGTTACCCAATAATTACCTGAAACGAAATATTAGCACGCCCATGGCCAGTTGTTATCTGGGGGTTTTATTACTCTCTTTCATTTCCAAACAGAGTATAGGTGAGAATAGCAAAGTCCATAACGTAATTGTCTTATGTTATATTCTTAGCCTAATTTCGCCCAAAACCAGGTCGCAAGGTACCGTTAATGTAATAAAAATGCAGAATCATGCCGGAGAAAACTCCGCAACGAACTAATTTGTAGCGAGCAGCTAGTTTTTGTTTAGGGGCCATTAGGGATTATGGGAACAGATCGATAGGTTATTAGAGAAGTTTCCCCTCGCTGATACGTTTTGTCTGGCATCGCCGCAAAGTATTTATGACAGTTTTTAGTTCTATTTATTTATTTTCCAGCGGTAATTGTGCGGTCGTAAATATAAATGGCCGCTGAAATACTTTCGGGACATTAATCACAGGGCGAGAGGGGGATGATACGGGTGGTTCTTGATTTTCGGCAGTTCGGGGAGATCACTTTTACGTTCAATCTAGATAATGTCTCGTTTATTATGTGGTTTTCCTAAAAACGATGTCTAAATCTTATCCGATTATAATCGGATCATACGGGAAACTCGAATGTCTAAAGCAGTTCGCAGACGATCGTGATATATTGCCAATAAATATTCTCAAAGTCATACATTGAAATTTATGGCGAAATAGTTTTGGTTTCGTGTCAACTTTTCACAATGACGTCTTGCCATGCAAAGAAAAGCTGGGAGGGCTATTAATTTGGCGTTATCGAAGGAATCCGAGGAATGGGGCAGATAGGAAATGGCTGCTAAAAATATACCTACATTTTTTGTTCATTCACTTTTTGCTGTAAATGACGTGTCTCATTCCAGGCAATGTAGCAGTGATGGGGCAAAAAAATATAACTGATGCAAATTATGGAAGTATGGAAGCGGGTAGGTATTCACTGTACCAACAACTCTTCTTTCTGGGCTCTAATGTACTGTAAATTATGCACCTGAATGTCTCGTCAGAGAAGCCACCAATCCGAAAATAACCTTCAGGAAAGTTGTTGGGTTCGAATGGTGACCTTCAATTACCCCCTAAACATTGAAGGTAATTTGAAGGTGAAGTTTAATTTTTAAAATGAAACCTCTATTTTTGA